TGGGTCGATGCTGTGGTGTTTGTCTTCAGCCTGGAGGACGAGATCAGCTTCCAGACGGTGTACAACTACTACCTGCGGCTCTGCAGCTACCGGAACACAGCCGAGGTGCCGATGGTGCTGGTGGGCACGCAGGGTGAGAGCCAGGCGGCCGGGCTTCCTCTGCACCCTCCCCGCCTCGGTCAGGAGTGCTGCCGACATGTCTGTGCTGGCGAGAGACAATTGTGTTCTCACCTCGTGAGTGTGTCGGGAGATCCCAGTGTGAGCCTTATGTGGGACTGGGTGGCGCTGGGGCCAGGCCCCTCTTCTGGAGTGCTGTAGCTGCTGGGCATAGAATCCTCGAATCATTAAGGTTGGAAAAGGCCTCTAAGATCACCAGGGCCAACTGTCAACCCAGCAGTACCTCGACCACTAAACCATGTCCCCAGGTGCCACGTCTGCACGGTTTTTGACACCCCCAGGGATGAGGACTCCAGCCCTGCCCTGGGCAGCCTGTGCCAGTGCCTCACCGCTCTCTCAGTGAAGAAATTGTTCCCAATATCCAACCTAAACCTCCCCTGGTGCCACTTGGGGTCGTTTCCTCTTGTCCTGTCATTAGCAACTTGGGAGAACAGACCAACCCCCACCTCACTACACCCTCCTCTCAGGGAGTTGTAGGAGCAACGAGGTCTCCCCTTAGCCTCCTCCTCTCCAGACTTAACAACCCCAACGCCCTCAGCAGCTCTTCGTAAGACCCGTTCTCCAGACCCCTCACCAGCTCCATTGCCCTTCTCCATTATCTCAATGTCCTTCTTGTACTCTGGCACCGAAAACTGAACCCAGTGCTCAAGCAATTACTTCTCAGACCACCTGGGCTCTGCTGCAGATAGCTGCCCAACCTCATGGAGCCCCCGAGCTGCCCAGACCCCCTGGTGCTTGCCTCTGCCTTCTGATCGGCTCTGCTCGCAGCAGGCAGGGGCCTGGGCATGTGGGAGGGTTTTCTGCTGGTCTGTCGCCCTTCGTCCTGCGGGGCCGTGCTGCAGCAAGCGAGGCTCGGCAGCAAGCGAGGCCCGGAGCGATGGCAGCTCACTGAGGCTGCCAGTGGGCGCGGGCAGCAGAGGGGACTGGAGTCTCAATGCTGGAGCCCCGGCAGCGACAAGGGCATCGCTTCGGGGGTCTGAGCTCTGCTCTTGCGAAACGAGTGTCCTGCCTGCCCAGAGGTGGCAAAGTGCAGGCAGGAGGGAGCCTGATGCTCCGTCCAGTTGAGTGTAGGGGTGGCAGCAGAGCGGGAGCAGGAAGATGTGAGGAAAAGCTGTGTTGGCACGACCCAGTTCCTGAGCAGTGAGACCTGTTCCTGGTGAAGGAGGAGCTCTGAGGCAGTGACAGTGAAAGGGGAGTCGGGACCCCAGAGTAAGAGTAGAACAAAGCTCTTAAACTTCGGATATTTAGGGGCTGGAATTGATTTTAGGACAGAATGATCTTGGTTCAGACCAGGGCTGGAGATGCAGGCACGTGCTGGGGGGCTCAGGAGCAGGGAAGAGTGTCAGAGGGGTCAGTGGTCGATGTTGTCCCAGACTCAGAGCCAGGTCCCAGCCCGCGGGGTAGTGAGGAGACCTTCTGTACAGCATGAGTCCTAGCACTTTGGACTCCTCCTGCGAGGGTTCCGTTACAGCCCCTGCTTGTCCTTGGCTTGGCTTCAAGGAGTCGGGCTCCTCTTGGGGAGGCAGTTTTTCCAAAACATGCAAGCACTCAGCAGCCAGCTGGGATGCAAATCAAGCCTGGGTTTTAGTGTTGCCCACCAAGGCCTTGGCTGTGAGTACACCTTGGCAGAGCCATCTTTCCCAGTCAACTGAGGATGATTTCTCCCTTTTCTTTAATATGCGGGCTATGTCCCTGAGACCTAAAATCACTGAGACTGGCAAATCCATTTTACTCTGGGGCTGAGGCTGCCTTGCCTTGCCAGCCGCACCTCCCACTGGTTTCTGCCTCTGTCTTCAGAAACATCAGTGGCCGGATCGCTGGGAGAGTTGAATAAGGTGCATTGAAAAAAACATTTAATTTAAAAAGTTTCATGTAATAAATCCGCTTTTCTACAAACATGGGAGTTTGGTATCTAAGACACTTGGAGGAGAGGGGTGCACTGTGGAGATGGGTATGTCAGTGTGTGAAGGGAGGGAGGGAGGCCGGGAGCAGCCTGGGGCCCGTGAATGGGTGGGACACGGGCACTTGCTTTTTAACCTCCTCTCCCTTTGGTTTCCAGATGCCATCAGCGCCACCAACCCCCGGGTCATCGACGACTCTCGAGCGCGGAAGCTTTCCAATGACTTGAAGCGCTGCACATACTACGAGACCTGTGCCACCTATGGACTGAACGTGGAGAGAGTCTTCCAGGATGGTAACTGCAGCGGTGGGGGGTGCCGGGTTGGACGGGGCTGTGGGACTGCCCTGCAGCGGGGGTCACACTACCCCGACACCAGCTCTGGTCAGAGCAACGTACTGCTCCGAGGCCGTGCTGAGACCAGTTGTATGAAGTTCAGCCATGAAGTGGTGGGTCCTGCACTTCAGTCACAACCACCCCCAGCAGCGCTGCAGGCTTGGGGAGGAGTGGCTGGAGAGCTGCCAGGCAGAGAGGGACCTGGGGGTGTTAATAGATGGCCAGCTGAACATGAGCCAGCAGTGTGCTCAAGTGGCCAAGAAGGCCAACGGCATCCTGGCCTGTGTCAGGACAGGCGT